AGAGACACTTTAGATACAGATTCCTCGGGCACTCGACTCGAGCCGGAGATCGTGATTCGAATACACGTTTAAGAGGGGAGAAGGGGGCGGTTCAGTTTTTCGCCGCAGTTTGCACGCGATCACGTTCCTCGAGCGATCACGTTGCTCGCGGAGAAAGACACACACGCGTCACGATGTATAAATATCGGCCATTTTGCGAATCGATAGCCACGATGCGACTGAAAATTTCAATGGTTCGGGTCGCGTAGCCGCGAGTTGAACGGTGACTAATACAGCGAGGCGAGCTCCGTCTCCTACCTTACCGGTTGCGTGTCCCGCGTGCACCGATGCATATAAGTCGTGCCACCGCTACCCACACTGTCCTACCACTCCAACGTATCTCCCCGGTTTTAACGCGGCCCTCTTTGTTCGCCTTGGCCCACGTCCGCTCACATTTACGAGGACCGGGCATCGATTCGTTTTTACTACGTTTCGTCGCACCCGATCTATCGCGTTGAACCACGCGGCACACGGCGGTGTAATGCAGCGATGGGTAGACGGCCACGTGGTGTAATTAAAAGCGAGGTCACGCGTGTTAATTACCACCCGCGGTTAAAAATAAACGTGACCAGTTTAACGGTTCTCGTGTTATCTTTGTGGCATTGTTGGTGCGTGTTCCGAGACGAGAATAAACGCTACCAATTCACTTTTCTCTCGAGAGATGATTAATTTATTATTATTACTCGAACGGTGAAAGTATAGGCGACGAAATTTCTTGTTGGAAATTTTTAAACTAAATATATTTTATTTTAATTTTTCAGTTGAAATTTTTCGGATATCGGATACGGTTGATGGTCAGTCGCCTATTCAAATTTTATCCGCGTTTGATCCGATATGTTCGGTATACGCGACGTGGGTGATCATTTGCAAACAAGCTGTACGTTATGTTTGCGTTGCATAAGTTAATTTGCGTGGTAATTTATGCGTGGCGTATGCTAATTGCACGTGATATTTCAATGTTGCGGTTCAATGTATCGTGCCGAATTGTTTTGCAACATTAACATTTTCCTCGTTATCTCGGTGATTAGTTTCATAATTAGGCTACGAATATTTATTATGCGTTCGTGTCGTGCACGTTAAACATCCAAACCTATATATATGTCGAATATTGCCAATTTTTCGTTAAATCTTCCATCGGTCTCGGAGATATCTGAACTCGATCCATCCCTTTCCTCGAAATTTCTTTCTCTCGAGAGAAAACACGATCGCTATCGGCGGAAAATGATTTTCTAAACGATCAATTAAACAAACGAGTTAAAATTTGACGCTCGAGTTTTATACACGCTGCTCGAATATTCGTTTTCATTCGTTGTTCAATAGCGCGTAACAAGCAGCCTTTCCAATGAATTATAGCCATCACCTGCATTCTTCGTTTGCTCATTCGGTTACACGCGTTATAAAAATCCTTTAGCGCGTTTGAGACACGTAGTATCGAATTTGAAGTGGATAATTCGTGCAAACTGCTTTCAATTGTACCATACACTTATTTTTAAATTATTTCTATCAGAAATTTATCATTTACATTTAAAATAATATCTAAAATGTAATCATAAAATTAATCTCGTTTAAAATTTCAAAAAGAATTTGCTAACCACTGACCATCAAAATTTATTTCATCGAGTTCAAATTTAAATTTCACTCGATCCAACCCCCGTCTCGTAACTCGATTCTCCACAAAAGTAGAAAACGCTTATTATGCTCGCGCATCTGTCAAGCCATTATTCATTTCCATCGATCATCAGGATTCTATCCAAGATTCCTACATTTTTCTCGCGACCTCGATATTCCATGGTGTACAGGGTGTCTCGAAAAATGTTGGAACATTCGTAAATTGAAGATTCCCGAGATGATTTCAAGCAACATTTTCCATCGCGAATCATTTCGTTACGACTTTATTATTAACGAGTTATTAACAAAAAAAAAATATCAAATCAATATATCTCGAAGAATATTATATTTATTTATTTATCCATTGCTCGTGATATAATTCGATTATTTAATCAATAAAAATTTTTACAAAATTTTTGAAAATTGTTTGAAATTACCTCAAGAATATCCGGCTTATAAATATTCCAATCATTCATTTTTTGGGACACCCTGTATATATATATATACACATCAAGTGATCGAGATATTTCTATCTCAGGTGTGAAAATACGTGGGTAAAGTATACACGTGGAGATCAGCCGTGGATGCCGTGGAATTTGCGAATCTGTGTCCACAGTAGCGTATTCAGGAATTAACAATGTCGAAGAGGGGGAGGGAGGGGGCGATAGGAGGCTCCGCGATATGCAAATGTCTACAAGCGCTCACTCTAATCGCTACCTTCTAATCTCGCTATGCGTGGCGAACCGGCACATCCAGCTGACACGATACCATAAAGGATACACATACGTGTCCAATGACACCATCCCTTTAAACCTTTCACGCTAATCTGCCCTCCCCCCTCCATCACGGATCACGAATTGGCCGATCGAACGATGCGATGCGAAATCTTTCTTCTCTTTTTCCGATATATCCTTTGTAATTTGATCTTTTCTCTCTCTTTCTCTTCCGATCGATATTTTATTTTTCTCGAGCGTCTAAGGCAAAGTGAAGAGAATTATTAAAATTATTAGAACATCGAAGCTTTTTTAAAAAAAAATAGTAGAGGTATCTTTGCTTCTTCACAACTAATTTTATTATTACATTTTATAGGAATAGAATATTTCAGTTAGAAAGTGATCGTGTTGCTTACAGTTATTATTTATTAAGTAAGAAAATTATTGAATTTGTTAGGATTAATATCGAAATTTTATTTTTACTTCTTGGGAATTAGTTTTGTTATTACTACTATTTTATACGCATTCTTTCAATTACGTATACCGATGACTCGTAATCTTCTCTCACTGGGAATAGAGCGCGTTCAACTTGGAAAGTTAGAAAATGTTAGAAGCGTGACATTGTGGAAAAGAAGGAGAAGGAAAGAAGAGGTAGATGGCACCAGTAACGATATAAGAGATTACGCATCGTGGCAAGGAGAATCGATATATGTTAATACTATATAGTGGATACAATGACTCGTCTGAATGACTCATCGAGTCTTTTTCTCGCGCTTTCGTCCCACACTGACCAGTTTCGTACAATCACTTCGCTGCTATATTTATCCCTCGATCCGGCATTGTATTAAGAATATATCGATATAATTATCTTAATGGAAATCGTCCGAGTGGTTCGAAGTGAGCGAAGTGCAATGGCGGCTCTAATGTTTAACCGAAGATTTTAATCTCGTTTTTTCGCTCTTTAATACACCAATACGAATCAATTTATTTTATTTTATAAATACTTACGTTAATTTTATGAGTGCTTGATATTTATTCAAGAGGAATCGTATTCATTCGTATTGTCGCGTGAAAGTTTACTAAACCTGTTACGATCAACGTTATAATACGAAACGAGTGGAAGCTCGGAGAGAGGATTATTCGAATTCCAGAATGTTCAACGCCATGGCTGACCACAAACGCAACTATTCCACTTAGATCGTTCATTCCTCTGCAAAAATAAAAATCTATAACAACACTTTATATAACAAGAATTATAAGAAACTTCAGAGAACTCTAAAGAATTACACGTATTGTTTATAAATAAATGTGAAATGAAAAAAAGAAACGATTCGATAAAATTATATCGAAAGCATCGTTTTGAAACATTCGAAAAATTTAAGTAAAATCATCCAAATCAGATTCATAACTTACATAATTATTCCGCATATTTTCTCTTAATCTTTCCATTCCATTTCTCATTGTCAAGCGTGTTCAAGCTTTCGTTTTAAAGCTCACCAATTTCAAGTGTCTCGCAAAAGTACGCATTTATCCCAGAATCTACTCACTATTTCCGATTACCAGAGACTATCATATCATTCCAGACAGCGTGACTATATACATAACGAAGAGAGAACCGATTGGATAACGCGTCCATTGGACAAACGGTATCCAAACGCCGAAGCCGTTGGAAAATAAGAGCGATCGAGTTTCTTCAACCGAATCGAACGACGTATTTGGATGAGAATTTGCCAATCAATTTTTACACGAGAAACTTAATAGAAGCTAAGCTAAGTCGGTTAACGGTGCCCAACTCGAACTGTATATGATAACCGTAAGGATACGAAGGGGGATTACACGGGAACGGGACCGTTGCGGATCGATATATTCGTGCATACCGTTACGCTACGGTCGAACGATGTCCCGCAAATTTGTATAAATTGTACAAGTGTGTAAGAATCGTACGCGACACGTTCCCGTATTTTTTTTTATCGCCCAACTTGTTAGTCATCCTTTAAACCTCGAGGCACGTAATTATCGGAAGGCGAGGGGAGGGGAAGCGGTTACGCGGGGAATGTTAACCGAGTCTCTTCAATTTGTTCGGATGGTAAATGTTTCCTGTAATACGTTTCGATCTAGAATTATCTTTACACTTTAGCGGAGCACTTGCGAAACAGTAAGGTTCCTCTATTATATGTCGTGACCGGATTGCGTCATTCTGTAGCGCCAATAACCAGGGCTTATCTCGTCTCCCCCCTCCCCCTCCTTTTTTAAAACTTTTTTAAAACTCCTGATATTTTCCTCGATAAATTTTTTCCCAGCAACAGATATTCCAAGAGACTTGGATGAAATGTATAGCAAATAAAATTATAAAGTTCTTTTATAAGATTGCCGATCTTACGTAACTCGGCTCGTATTTTTTTTATTGCTCTCTCGTGAAAAAGGAAACTATATGTATATGTATACATATGATTTTTGTTTGATCACATCATTAATAATATTCTCTTCGATTTGACGCGATATTTAAAAAAAAAAAAATATAGCAGAGCACTCACCGAGGCCAAAATAGTGACGAGATATCGCTGCGTCCTCTCGAAGTCGAGAGTACGGTTAACAGTAACTTGGCCTTGATGAGGCAAGTTGATGCTGAAATAACCGTATCCATCGGCGGTCGTGATTCTATTTCGGCCGACTCCGTCATTGTTGCCGATTCCAGTTCCGTCCCCGGGGGCGATCGAGTATTCGACGATACCATTCACACCGGCATCAGCGTCCACGGCCACCACGTTTTTGAAAATGGTCGAGCCGACTGGCGTCAACTGAAAAACCAAATCCGGGATTTTATTTTTCATTCCTGCGCGATTGATCAATACGTTCGATACGTTGTTAAAAAAACGATATTAGTGTCGGTATAATTCGATTGAAATAAAGAATACACGATGAGAAAGAATATATTTAATAGGAATAAATTTTGTTACGTACACGTATCGCGCAGAAGCCTTTGTTTCACTACATAGAGCTATATTCACACTACACTCGCGTCGTATGGCAAAAAGAAGGAAAATGTCGTCCAATTTACGTGTAATACGAGTCCCATCTTTATAATGTATATACATTTACGAACATTCTGTATTAGATTTTTTTACATTTTAATTCATATATATATAATATGACTAGCAAACGATTTCAAGCCGAAATTCCTGCACGTGTACACTTGTTAAAAAATATTCAAATCTGCTATTATTGTCTCGTTCTCAGACAACTTTATCAATATGTCTTCTTGTTCTGAAAAAGAATTATAAACGTACGTCTTAACGAAATTGTATCACGATATTTTCCATTTCGGATCGAATAGCGGCTTCTCAAATAAAATTTCGCGATAAATCAGCCTCGAAAGATACATTTTCGATAAATATGGCGATTGATTACGTGTAGAACTGTACTGTTCACTGGTGAAAAGAAGTTTGGCGGGATGGCGCATGGATCGCCTATCCCCACCTCATGCGCTTTGTTGACAATCCTGACATCGTACGTTACATAAATCATCTAAGATTGGAAGTTGAAATATTTTCGAAACTATAATATGTCTAACTTATTTATGTATATATTTATGTATATATGTATACGTACAATTATTATCTTAACTATTTAAACTATTAAACTATCGTTACAAACCGTAATAATATATTGAGAAGAAATAAGAAGTTAGAATTTTTTAGATTTTATCCTTACGCTAATGCATGAGATTTAGATACAGTTCGTCGTTTTGAATTAGTACATGTAACAAATGCCAAAAGGAAAAATGCGTGTGAAAATAGTCATTCTAAATTAACCAATCAGACCCGCTTTCCTTCCTTTTTTCTATCAGTATAAATAACGCACGAAACACGTTCCTTTCACGACACGTATATATCTACTGTTCACTGTTGGAAAGAAATATGGCGGGACGGCACAGGAGCAAGAGGGGTCCTTCGTTAGGATCATTTATCCCCACTTCAGACGCTTTGTTGACCACACATTACATAGTAGTAGAGTTATAATTTTAATATTCAAAATCATGTAAAAATTATTTTTATTTGTGAAGTTTTATAAATACATTTTATAATTACATTTGTAAATTAAATTATCGTTACGAATCGTAATTGGCTTTTAACATATTATGAGAAATAAACGAATTTTTATATTATATCCATACGTTAGAATTTCTCGATTCTATGCTTACGCTTATGCATTACGAGGTTAGAGGATAAATCGTCGTTTTCGGTATACGTGACAAATACCATGATGGAAACAAGAAAGCGTGTGTAAAATAGACGTTTTCTTCCAAATTAAACCAATCAGTGAACAGTACATATACGAACTTATGAACTACAAATGTATACACGTCGATTTTTTAATTGTTAATAGATTTGTTATCGAGGCGAGAAATCCGGCTTCCTTCGTTTCTCTTGTACGAAAACCTTGTAGATTAATTAGTATGAACACAGGATCACGAGAGTTCTGGGGAACTGTTGCGATCCCGCAATTGAAAACGAATAGGTCACGCTGCTTTGTGAAATAATTGAAAGTTTCTGGCCTCCACGTTTCCACGCTCTCCGTACGATACAAGCAGCCTATTAATTCGAAGATAATCAACCGTTCTGGAAATGTGTTTCTGCGTTCCTTTAACGGTCCCTAATTGCGCAGTTGAAATACGTACCTTTGTTGAAAAACGGAACGGAAAATGGAAGTGGAGGAGGCACGCCTTTGGGAGAATTCATTGCTCGAGAAGTTTGTTTCTTTTTTTCTTCTCAACGTTCTGATAAATAATACCGTTATTCAAATTTTTCGTTTCCGTTTCATTAGTGGACAATCTGGTTATAATTAATCGCGATAGTGGTTATCGTTTCGAGATCTAAACCTGTCCAATGTTTGTGTATTAGATGCTGTAAGTGGATTCTGGTCAGCCGAGTTTCTGCGAAAGTATTTCAAGATTTTGATTTTGATTTTTTTTTATCGATCGCGAAATAAATAAGCTCGGATAAACGATAAGGATCTTCTAATGAAACGTTATAAAATCTGCGTATTATAATAAATCAACGAGTACAGAATACCAAATAAGCATAAACGAGTGCGAATCGAGCCTCGTACATATTAATATAAGAGCGGAAAGAACGGTAAAAATTTTAATTCACGGTGGAAATAATTCGTTCACGAAAATATCATCGGGTGGATATATGCATATGCATTAACGTTCCCGAATATCTTTTTCAAGTTCTCTCACAATTTAAAATTTCCAAACATCGTATAATTAAATTCTACGAATTCTTAATTAATAGGAAAGTAACTGTGATCGGCTCTCGAAATAATTCACGCTTCTAATAATTCAAGTCACGAATCCTTCGAACAAACAGTTCGCGAATTCGTTGCACGTTGCTCGCCATTCGCAAAAATAATTCGATCGTTAAACGTAGCGGCAGTGTGAATTTTTAGAATTTTAAAGATCTTCGATTTTTAACTTAACTAAGCCTCGAATCTATAACTTGAAAATCTATATCTTGATATCTATATAGTAAATTATCACAGATAATAAAACAGTCATTCACATTATTAAAAACACGATTGAAAAGTTCGACTAAAAAACACAAACTCTTCGAAAAATCGCAATCTCTTGCGTATTGAAGGAATAAAAAAAACTAAAAGTAAACAAAATATAGAAAGATCGTACATAATTAAAATGATGGAGATTCGAGCGAGCGAGAATTATTTAAACGAAAAGAGTTTAAATAATTCTCGTCTCGTTTTCTGTTACACGATTTGTCGCAACACAACAACAACGTTCCACGCGCGTCATTTAACCGTGGACAGTTTCATGATGTACCGTTACCGTATGCACCCCTGACGATAACACGTTTGTGCGCAGCTCATGAAATGCTGCGTCATTAAAATAAGCGTTAACGTGGAATCGAAGGGAGAGGGCGCTCGTGGACATACGCGGCTCGATCGACTGGTATTCGCGCCATTTCTATTATAACGGTCCACCATGGTGGAAAAGAAGAGGAATCTGACAAACAGGATTTGATCGTGGACGACGACTCGGCTGAATCGAACCGTGTCAAACATCGATCCACGAGGCGGAAAAAGGTTGTTAAGCAGATATAAAGAAGAATAATCATAATTCATAAATTCGACCAATAAGAGACGAATCTCTAACAATCCTCGAAAAAAATTGCATTCGGTCGAGGAAAAGAGAGGGAGTTTAGCTCTTGAGTTCTTGGACTTGAAGAGAGAATGTATTCATTGGATCGTGGATATTAAAAAATTTAAACGAAAATGGAGGAAATAGAGAAAAATAAGAATCTGATCTGTGTTCGAAAATTAGATATCGACGAGATCGATACTCGCAATTATCAGAGGGATATTGGACGACAAGTTGGACGGGTTAATTGGTTGGTGTAGTGTCGAGGAAACATCCGAGTTCGAAATCTAGTGTAACAATTCCCGTTCATCTTGGCAAGTTTGGGAGGCGATATTGCGAGGGCGTTGATAAAGTTGCGAGGTTTAATGGGAAAAACAAGCTTTGGATTTAATTCGATCTTAACTGGAGATTTTGCCGGATAACAGATTCTTTTCTCAGATACACGAGATAATTCGATGGATATAAAATATAGAAATTGTGTATAATATATATAACGCTTGGCAAACTTTCAACTTTTGACAGAATTTCGTGATTAATATCGATGTATATTTTGAGGAGGTCGTAAGCACGATTGATCGAAAATTTCAACTCGCGTTATTAAATTTATTTTTAAGCTCAAAACCGCCCACTCTCGAGATCACATCCTCCCACTTTCGATATTCCATGGATAATTCAAGGATAATCGGGACGAATAAATCCTGGATTTGCGAAAAACGGAAAAAACGAGAAAATTCCGATAAGATAAAGATAATAAATATATATATTTTCGTTTCTATTTTTCGAATATTCCAACACAAGAAATTAACTTTCTTTGGCGATTATATAACTGTTTGCCCTGTTCAATTTACCGCGAGATTTACTTTCTATTATCGTCTCCTTCTCTCGGCCTCTTCCTCCTAAAGCCTTTAACTTTTACTACTTCTCTTCAACTTTTCAATTTTCCCTCCATTAAATAATTATACATCGCTTCGCGTAAAAACTTCGAAGCCGGCCGAGTAATGGCGAGTTATATTATTTTACTGTTTATTTTACCTCGATCCCTCTTGTGAACGACGATGACGAGGAAGGGGAGGGGGGAATGTTTGAGGGGATCGTTCGTTACCGAAGCAGATCGATTCACCGATAATTAATTCTTTCACCCTCCAACCTTTTATAGTCCCATTACGATTAATCCGATCATCTTTCGCAGCTTTGCTCCTCGTTGCTCGCAACAAGTGGTAATTTGACCGGTCTTGGAGAAAAATCTTTGATAAGGTTGATCAACTTGTTTCTTTTTTTCTCTCTTTCTCTCTCTTATCCATTGAAAACAAACTTTAATCGCGCCTCGATTTTAAGGACCGAGAGTAAAAAAAAAAAAATACTTTTCCTTTCCGATATTTTCATCGATGAAAGGGTAATTGAAGAGCAAAACGCGAAAAATCAATGTTTCCTGTAAATTTGAATTCTCGATTTTCGTTTCGACGAAATCACATCCATTGGTAGAAAAAAATTTTACTGATATTCTCGATCGATAAAGAGGCAACAATTGGAGAGGAAAATCGAAAAATCAATTTTCTTTGCAATTTGAATTTCTTGTAGGTCGCAGTTTTCGTTTCGATGCTCCGTTGGTTAGAAAAAAATTTTACTGATATTCTCGATCGATAAAGAGGCAACAATTGGAGAGGAAAATCGAAAAATCAATTTTCTTTGCAATTTGAATTTCTCGTAGGTCGCAGTTTTCGTTTCGACGCTCCGTTGGTTAGAAAAAAATTTTACTGATATTCTCGATCGATAAAGAGGTAACAATTGAAAAGCAAAATAGAAAAATCGAACGAGTTTAATTTTTTCTTGCAAATTGAATTTATTAATAGGTCTTAGTTTCAGACGAGAATTCCATCGCGTGGCGGGTTCGTCGACATTGAAAGGCTTGGAATTTTAATACTATCGAGCGATCGTTCGAACGTAACGCTTCGACATTAACTTCGTCATGGTTTTTCACTCCCTTTTCCCTCCTTTTGTTATTTCTTAATTTCTTATTAAACGCCGCTAAGTTGTTGCAAGCGTTTCCAACGAAACCCTATACTTCATCCACACTGCACACTTCCGGATAGCAATCGATCAGATCGTCCAACCATGACGAGTTCAATCACCCATTCATATCCTCCATTGTTGATCGTAATCTAATTATTAACCGTAACAAGTTTCCCTTTATTTCATTATTTCTTCGATCGTACGTTCACGATTAAATAATTTCAACGATTATCCATCTTATCGTCTATCTTTTCTTAAAATAAAAAAAATAAAATTTTTTTATCTATAAAAAATCAATATCTACGAGTTTTAATAAAAAAATAAATAAATAAATAAAAATCTCAAAAATTTCTATCTATTCCCAATCCTACGAAAGCGACGATACTTCATTCCCCTTTGCCATATTCGTCGAGAGAAAGAGAAAGAGAGTGAAAAATTAATAACGCATTTTCCACAACTTCCCAAGTAAATGATTAACGAGTTACTTAAAAATGGTCGGTTACGAGGATCGTCTCGTGTGGCCCAGCAACGTATTATATCGAATCCTTGTTGTAAAAGATAACGAGGATCACGTTGTTAATTATAATTACCGCGCCACTTTATCGCCACCGTGTTTCAACCCGGTCGGTAAATCGGTAATAAATTCCAATCCCGATACATATTATCCACTCGCAAGTTTTTTTCACATCGAAACTCGCGCTTCAACTTCCAATCTTTCCTATACTTATCACGCAGCATTTATATATACCTGTACGATAATCGAAATCGTCGAAATTTCACTTTTATTTCGCGTGATATCGTTTAAAAAAGTTTCGATTCTCATAGCATCGTCCGCGAAACGAATTTCGCTCGAAATTTCGTTCTCTTTCCTTAAAAAAAGATAGTTTCGCTTGAAAACTCTATGCGAAGATAATCGTTTCCTCCGAGTGTTATTAAATTGTTGGAAAAAAACTGTTTTAAAAAACTTACCTCGGGCACAGTGGTCTCGTACGGTGTATTGATGAATTTGGGCGCGTTGTCGTTTATGTCCGACACTCGAACGATCACCGGTATAGTCCGTTTCTTGTTCGTCTGTTTCACCGTGCAGCTCAACTGTGAAAGGGACAGAGAGAGAAAAAGAGAGAAAGAATCAGGATTATTAAACGAAACGATCGTTTAGAAACGATGTGTTATTGTCGTGGCGTCGTTGTTGCGCCATCTCACCACCAACTCTGTTTATGAGAATTTCAGTCGAACTGTAAATCTCTTTTATGCGCAATTTCAACGGTACGCCAGCTTAATTTACTACGTTCAATTAATATCGTAAGATGATTTATAACGCGTAAGGAAGAAGAGACACGTAATATAAGGATTAAAATTTTTTATAAAATGATCCATCCGTGTTTTTTTTTTTTGTCGAGCGATTGGAAAGATACAATTGAGAAGAAGGGAACGTGTATACGAGAGAGAGAGAGAGAGAGAGA